ACCTCATTTCCCCACTGTCTCAGGGTCCACTCAGAAGTGGCATTTGGGGCTCCAAGAGTAGTCAGACTGCCAGTTGGAAGCATCTTTAGTCTTGGAGAACTTGTGCAATGCCAGCAATTTTAGGAGGCTGAACCCCACGATCAACCGGCTGCGACAGGAGATGATAAATGGTCATTTTCCATAGAGAAAAAAACCTTGTTCCCACAGTGGTCTGGGGTCAGGTCACAGGTGGTATTTGGGTCTCCAAGGGCAGCCAGAGTCCTAGTTGCAGGCAAGATTAGTTTGGGAGAAATCCTGTGATGTTTGCAAATTTTTAGGTCGGCACCCCACTATCGTCCAGGGTGAGTGGCCACAAACGGAGGCCATTTTCCATGGGAAAAAGAAGTCATTTCCCCAGGATCTGGGTATCAGCTGAGAGGTGGCATTTGGGGCTGTAAGCGTGTGCAGGGTCCTAGCTTCTTTTAGCTTCAGTTTTGGAGAAATCCAGAGAAGTTAGCAAATTTTTAGGTTGGCATCCCAATGTCAGCCATCATGAATGGCTGCAAACAGATGCTGTTTTCCATGGGAGAAAGAAGTAATTTCCCCATGGTCTGTGTATCAGCTCAGAGGGGACATTTGAGGCTGTAAGGGAATGCTTGGTCCTAGTTTCTGTCAGTTTTATTTTTTGAGCAATCCAGCGAAGTTCGCAAATTTTTAGGTTGGCATCCCACTGTCATCCAGTGCAAGAGGCTGCAAATGGAGGTCACTTTCCATGGGAAAAAGAAGTAATTTCCTCTGGGTCTGGGTATCAACTCAGAAATGGCATTTGGGGCTGTAAAGGTGTCCAGGGTCCTAATTTCTGGTGTCTTTAGTTTTGGAGAAATCCAGCGAAGTTTGCAAATTTTTAGGTTGGCACCCCAATGTTGGCCGTTACGAGTGGCCACAAAAGGAGGTCATTTTCCATGGGAAAAATAAGTCATTTCCCCAGGGTCTGGGTATCAGCTCGGAGGTGGCATTTGAGGCTGTAATGGCATGCAGGGTGCTGGTTGCTGACAGCTTTGGTTTTGCGAATACAGGAGGTTGCCTCTTGCTGTTGGTTGGTGAGACAGGATGAGAATAATGGTCAGTTTCCATAGGAAATAGACCTCGTTCCCACAGTGTCCTGTGGTCAGGTCACAGGTAGTGTTTGGGGCTTCAAAGTCAGTCAGAGTTGTGGGAAATAGTAAAGGGAAAAAGCTTTTTAGAAACTTGGGAAACATGGTCTTTAGAAACAGAAAGAGTAGAGAAACGAATTCTTAGTTTTAGTTGTTTAGTTTGAAGGTAGAAAAAGTTATGATAGTATAGTAAGCAAGAATATGAAAGAATAGTTTGAGTTTTAGGCTTGGTCAAGATAGATTTTAAGATTGTAGAAAAATGCGTAATAGTTTGAGTTTTGGGCTTGGTCAAGATAGATTTTAAGATTGTAGAAAAATGTGTTTAACAAGGTAGTAGAAGGTTTTAAGTTTAATAATTGTGTATTTTTTATAGAAAGAAGTAAGTATTGTGTGAAGTGTACGTGTATAGAAAAATGTGTTTAACAAGGTAGTAGAAGGTTTTAAGTTTAATAATGGTGAATTGTTAATAGAAAGAAGTAAGTATTGTGTGAAGTAAGTGTATGTGTATGTATTGTGTGAAGTAAGTGTATGTGTATTTTTAGTAATTGGTTAAAACAACTGTCTGTATGCTTTAGTAAAAAGTTATTGATTAAATAGTTTTTAAGATGCTCTATAACAAAGTAATCTTTGGCTGTTGTTGGGTGTATGTGAGCTTTGTTATTTTTTTATTGTCTCAACTATGTAATGAGGTTGACATTTCAAATAAAGTTTAAGGAACTAGCAGTCTTGTTTTGTTTGTGAGAGGGAAAAAACTATGCCAACACAAATGATGCCCCTTCATAATCCTCAGTATAAACCCTGTCACATCATGATACCAAAAAAACTCAAACAAACAATAAAAGATAGCAACCTAGCTTCTCCTTATTTTGAAAATGTAGTGAAAAGTATTTTTAGTTGTTATAGCCTTATCCCAACAGATTATCATAATGTAACTGCTCTGATTTTCCCTAATTCACAATACATTTTATAGAATAAAAAAACTTCTCAACAAGTTATTTGAAAAATATGTGAATAGTACTTATACTCATGTCACTATTACTCAATTAACTAACAAAAATCCATATGACAAAACCAACCAAACCTAACCTACCTAAACCTGTACTTACAGATATTAAAAATACTACAAGAAAAACGTTATTCATTATTGAACCAACAAATAGTCATGTAACTGCTTACTCTACAATAATACAAAGTGAGTAAAAAAAACCTACAGTACTTTTTAAAATCAACTAACACAAGCTGTTAAAAAACAGTGCCCAAACAAATACACCCCTACATTCCTAAAAACCTTACTTTTACTAATAAAAATGAAGAATACCAAAAAGTTATTCTAACTTTAGCTAACCAGCCTCCAACTGTTCCTCAAAGACTTTCAGCTTATAATAAACACCCCACAACACTTTACTAAAATATGAATGAATACTTTTAGAGAACAGAATCTCAAGAAAAATAAAGACAAAAGCCAACAGAAAGAAGACAAGCAAGTAATGTGAAGCACGTGTACATTTACTTTTAGTAACTGGCTAAAACAACTCTTTGTAAGCTTTAGCAATATGCTGTTGGATAAAAAGTTTTTAAGATGCTCTGTAACTGAGAAATCTTTGGCTGCTGCTGGCTGTATGTGAGCTTTGCCATGTTCCTATTGTCTCAACCATGTAATGAGGCTGATGCTGCAAATAAAGCTCAAGGAACGTACCCCAGCAGTCCCGTCTCGTTTGTGAGGAAAAAATAACCACCCAACACAAGAGTCCTATTTCCTGGCAGCTTTGTTCTGGGATAAATCCTGTGTCTTGCCAATTTAGGAGGTGGCACACCACTGTTGGCCCTGGGCAACTGGGTGTGAACAGTGGTAATTTTCTATGGGAGGAAAATCTACTTCCCTCAGTGTCTCAGGGTCAGCTCAGAGTGGTGTTCGTGCCTCCAAGGGCAGCCAGAGTCCTAGTTGCTGGAAGCTTTGCTCTGGGAGATGTCCTGCAATGTGTGCAAATTTAGAAGTTATTTAAAGCCATGTGGATGTAGTGCTTGGGGACGTGGGACACTGGTGGCCTTGGCACTGCCAGGCACTGTGATCTCAGAAGGCTCCTCCAACTGGAATGATTCTGTGATTCCAAGGACACCTTGTGCATGGCCAGCACAGACACACCTGAGCCTGCTGCAAGAATCATTTCACCTCCTCTCCTTCACTTGGCTGCCAAGTATTCCCTGGCAACAGGGAGCATGGAAGCAGTCCTTGCTGCTGCAGAAGCCAGCAGGATTAGACCAAGCTCTCTTCAGAAAGAGCTGACAGGATCCAGCCAGTCCGTCCCCAGCTGCCTGGGAAGCTCCCAGTCCTTTCCAATGGCAAAAGAGATGGAAATCACCTTGTGTGGAGGGACAATGACACAAGATCTGTAGGGGAGAGTGGCAGAGACAGGAGAGGAAGTGCAACACCAGAGCTTTCCAAAGGAAATCCTGCCAGATCTGTGGAAAACATTTTCCAGCTGAGTTGTGAGTCCATCTATTCCTGTCTTCCATTCACAGACCTTTCAGTGATGGTCAGGAGCTGCTCTGGCTGGAAGGTCTCTTCTTTTTTAAGAGATAAACAGATAATGAAGATATCTCCATGATTTAGAAGCATTTTTAGATATGAGTGAGTTAGATTTAAAAAATAAATAAATCCGTAAATAATTGATCAAGTATTACCTAATTTTGAGAGTTGATTTTGCAGATTTTTTTTTTTTTATCAAGCAGAGTCTTCAGCAAGTGGTTTATTAAAATTTAGAGCACTTTTCCAGCAAGACTAACTTGACAGCCAGAATAACAGAATCAGGCCCTGGTGTGGTGCTGTGCATAGAGCATTGAAGATACCCTGTGCCTCTTTGCTGTGTACATGTGCAATGAGAAAAAGGCCTGGTTTTGCCTCTCACCTGCTGAGATCTTGCTTACCTGTCTTTGTCATAGGGTGGCACTGCACACTAAAATATAGAGGACACTCCCCAAAAACACTCAGTTGTGTTTGCAGAGGCCTTTGACATAACTTCTGATCATGTTGTGGATTTTTAGGCTGCCCAGAGTCTTTTTTATTTGTTTGCTTTTTAAAAAATATTGCTGTTGTTGCTGTTGTTTGGTTTGGTTTTTATATGGAAAGTTTTAACTATCTGAAGAGAGTTGCTTGTATGTGATACCATCCCAGAGTACCAGGAAACAGAAAACAGTAGAGAAGGAGCAGAACAAAATGGTGAGGGAGACTATTCTAGCAACAGAAGTGTGATCAGGGCATGCTACAGTAGCAGAGAATTAAAAAAATAAAGATTCACTGCCATCACAACCTGAAGTCCTAAAGATTCAACTTCACACTCAAGTTGTTCTCCCTTGGAGAGAAAGGGAGTGGAAAATGGTGAGGAGAGAAGAGGGAATGTACTCTGCATCCAGTTACTTACCTGTCTGCTGTAACCTGCTTGAGAATGTCTCTTTTCAAATAATCCACTTGAAAAAATCTGACTCACCTTCCATTTTGTGGTCTTAAGTATCACCCTAACAGTGATCACAAATCACCACTGCAGTGTGGTTTGAGATCCAAATTTTACTACTTCTATGCAGATGGTATTTCCACAAAAAAGTTGAGGAAAGTACTACATCCTTTCAAGCTGCTATGGCAGAGACTGTTATCTGCTTTGTGTATTTCTCCCCCTTTACCTCAATTCACTTAATGATTTTCCTCTTTGTTTTAAATATTATGTGTGCAGCGTCACTATTGATAGCACTAGAAGTAAAGAATCTTCATCTTACTTCCCACAAAGGGTAGAAAACATTTGTTTATTGAATCATAAGAAAGGAAAGGTCCTTGAGAAATTTACCTTTTGTCTACACAAATCATAGCTCTTACACTGTTCAGCTGCATTTTTTTATAATGGAAACGGTATGGAGAAGCAATGAACATCAAATGCAGCTCACAGGAAGTGACAGATTCCAGGGATTTATTTTTCTTTCATACCCAATCCAACATCAAACATTCGCTCTCATTTTACTTGCTAAAAAGAGGGAAACAAAAAATAATACATTAAATTAATAAAATGCACATAAACCCAACTGGAATGGATATGGAAAATAACGTGTTTGGATATGTCCAAAAGGTCTCACTTCTGACAGGCAATCCCTGTGTTTGAAGGGATGGGTTTTTTGAAGTCTGGTTTGGAAGCCCTCCTACACTAGTTCGATCAAACATCTGCCATGCTCTAAAGAATATTCATTATTAAGAATATGGCTGCTAAAGAATATGGATTATTCTTAACCTGAGGTCTTGTGGTCTATACAGGTCAGACTACAGAGTGACACAGAGTGGTGTAGCCATGCTGCTGCATGCCACGAAAATCTCTATGCTGGTATAGATGAATTTATTGGAATCACAGGACTGCTCACCACCTCCTCTAATTAAACTGTGTGACTTGCATGCTGGAGACTGCTAAATTTAAACTTTTCCCCTTAATCTTGGGCTTAGTGCTTTGGCTAATTGCTTTATAGAAAACACTGACCACAATGGTTTAGCTGATGGACTGATGAAGGGGCCTTGAATTTGATTAAGAAATTGGTAGTTTAGGTGCTCTGTGCCTCTGCTGTCCTCTCTCTTTGCAGCACAGGCAGAGCAGAGCATGTGCCTGGGAAGCTGCACCTTCAAGTCAGGATTGGAGAGAGATGCAAGGAGAGGCTTGCACAAGCTAAAGCTCACATACTCACATGAGGTGGCTGGGGCTGGCAGCCTGGCTTGTTCTTTCACAAGAAGCAAGCTTTGGGCAACTGGGGTAACAGTGATTGAAGCTGCTGCAGCAGCGCATTCCCATGAGTGCCTGTCAGGCTTGAGAAAGCTCAGGAGAACTGGGCTGGATTCTGGCTGCATCATCACCTACGAGTCCCTAAGAGCATTTGGAGCCACAGGAGCTCCTGGCGTGGTGGTACCCACCTGCAGGGCCCTGCCCTTGGTCTCGATGGGCAGCGTCACTGCAGAGATGGCACAGATGATGCACACAGAGGAGAAGAGACACAGGGCTCCCAGGAAAGAAGCGCTCATAAGAACCTGCAGGTCAAAGAACATCAAACAGCAGCTTGTTGGTGTGGGGGGCTGGCACTTAATTAGCAATTAAGAGTGGACAAAGGGTCACAAGTGCCTGAGAGACTCCACAGTAGAAAAAACAGTATCTTGTGAACCTTAAGAGCTTTCAGCAAGTATCAAATACTAGTGAGCTGAACTCTGTGATGAGAGTTACTCAAAGCTGCATCTGGCAAGGACCACCCAAGCACTCCATGTATGGGGTTGGGAAGGAATTGGGTATATCCTCCCTTTTTTTGGGATGAATTTCAGGGACATCTCTGTATTTGATGACAGTGTTCAGCACAATGTTTATCAACATTATCCAGGATGCTCTTACTTGTGATATAAATGGAGCCACCATTGCTCCCACACGGCACAATGCCCCACTTGTCCCCATCCCCAGTGCTCTCATTGTGGTGGGATAAACCTAAAACAGGCCAGAAATAAATTGGGTTAGTGCAAGAGCAATCTGCAATATCTGTAGTTTTCTTTTTTTTTTTTTTTAATCAGAGACACCCATTGTGTCATTCAGCTAATAGGATAAGATAAGAAAAGAAATAAAAGCTCCCTTGGGCCTCATTTGAGCCATTACAAATCTCTCATTTTTTTTGCCCCAAGTAAAGTTTTAGGGCAAGTCAAAGCTGGATGTGTTTCCCCTTTGTTTAGCACCACTACCACCACTTTATTTTCTGGCTCTATGATCAAAATCATAGATGCTAAAGGAAAAATTTTGATTATACTGTTGGGCCCCCCTTTATCTCGGAAGCAGCAAGAAAAGATATCATCTGCAGAGTTCAAGTCTGCCTATTCATGTTTATCAACAGCACCTTTGTTTAGTGGATGAAAAAGAAAAACAGATCCCAGTAAGAAATATTCAGGCTTAGAAGAATGTGCTTTGTGTCATTTATCTTTCACACCTCCCAAACACCTGTGCCAATAAAACACTTAAATATTAATTTTACTGAACTTTTAGTCTTAATATAAAGAGATTTTAGCAAGTATACTCATATAAGCCTTTGTTTAAATACTTTACTGGGCCAAGCAAATTCAGTAAGTTATTCAAGAAGAGTCCAGGCACTTGGCTCAAAAGATTTTGATCATTGATTAAATTGTGAGTAGGATTGATTTATGGTATGGCTGTTACAGTGATGGTCTTTACATCAACAGCAACTTATTCAAAACTGCTAAAATTCTGGTGTTAAAGCCAGGTGCAAGTTTAAATATTACAGTGCACTATTAAAAGTGCAAGGGAGCTACTTCTGTTTGCTTTGGATCACTTTAGTCAACTAACAAGGAAATCCATTTAACGCCATACAATTGTTTTTAAAAAGAAAAGAACAAAAATCCCCAACAATTTAAACTTAACTCACAGAACTCATGGCTCCAAAGTTGTATGAAGGAAAAGCTCTTTAAAGTATTGAAGCCTTTTGCAGAGAGCACATACCAATTTCCTTTAAGTGAAAAGAATCATATATATAACACCATATACTACCTGATACAGCCCCTTAAGTGGTGAAAAATATTCCTTTAAGTGACAGTCTGTTTTCTCACTGTGGGGGTTAAATAAGGGAAAGATTGTGGGTTTTGGAAGATAGTGGTACCCAACATCTTCAAAAATAATGTTTTATAGGAGCTGAGCGACAGCTGGCTTAGTAGGGCACTCCTCTTCCATCTACTCCTGTCATCTCCAAGCTGATTTTCTGATTCCTTCTTTTATTTTGCATATGAAAACACTGCAGCCAAGATGCCAGAGAGACACAGTTCTAGGAAGGTGACTCTTAACTAGTCCCTAAGCTAGCAGGCAGCATTCCTGGGTATACACAAATGGATTTTGAAGCCTCCAAGCAGCTCAACATACCTCAAGCAGAACCCACCTCTGCCGTGTAAATGTAGATGGTGTTGAAGTTGGCTGAAACCAAGGCACGCAGCATGAAGAGAAAGCCAACCATGCCTGCACTGGAGAGAAAGCCATGTGCACCAGAGTTAGTCATCAGCAGAGAAGCCAGAAAGAAAGAAACAGGAGAAAAAAGGGAATGAAAAATATAACTTCTTTCCAGTAGATGTTATTCACACATTAATTTTCTGGACTGTTCCAGAAAGCAGCTTGTTGGGTGCTTAGGGGAAGCCACGTGGACTCAGCAGTACAAGTCAGCCCCTCTGCACACCACTGTTCTACAGAATCTGCTGCCACAGCTTTCCCAGGAAAAGGACAGCCAGTCAGAGGCTTTTCTTAGACCTACAAGAATTACTGGCCTGACAGACTGGTGATCTGAGAATACCAGATGTTCTGCCCTCAGCATTATATACCCTCAAACAAGACCCATAGTCTGAGCCAGAGTACCTTGAGGTGCAGATATTAAGGAGAAGAAAGAATAGAGCTGTACATCCCATGGTGATACAGAGGCTTAGACGTCTTCCGAGGAGATTGATGCTGAGAATGTTCACAGGATTCACTGGAAATAAAAAGGAAAATCATAAAACATTTGATGATCTAACTGCAATGATTGTCTGCCTTGACAGACCTTACACAATGTGACTCAAAGATACCTGTCTGCATGCCCAGTGCCTACCAAACAGCCTGTAAAATGCACAAATCCTGTCATTCTCTTCCTGCACCCAAAGTTTGTGATTTGCTTCCATGCCCCTTTTGTTTCACCCGTCCCCTCAGATGGTGAAGCCTGTGCTTCTCTGAAATTGGCTGTGCTGAGACAGGACACCAATGTCTGTCCTGAGCCATGCAAGGAAGGCACGGCTGGGTGAGCAGCACAGACCTGGGTGGTTTTGCTCCTTCTGCCCACAACCCGGCCAAACACCAGGGCTTGAGGTGTGTCCCACTGAGTGCCCTGCTGCGCCAGGAGCCACAGGGCTCCTGTATCCCAGAGCAGTGCCCAGTTTGTGTCAGCCCCTGCCACCAAGTGCACGCACAGCTCAAACCTCTGCAGCGAGCACTGTGAGAGGGGAATGGCAGGACAGGGAAGGGGGAAGGGGTTACGTGCGATCTCCCCGGCTGTGCTGATGATCATGGTCTGGTAGGCAGCAGGCCCAAACATGTGGCAGTAGCAGGGGCTGTGGCTCTCCTCAGAGTCATCGCTGGAGTCCTGCAGCGGTGGGGCTGCAGAGCCACAGACAAGGTCCCGCTCCAGCAGCTCAGCACTGGCCAAGATGACACCGTAGTAAGCAAAAGCTATGCCAAGCCTGTGGGGAGAAATGCTGCAGTGAGGTGCAGATGTGATGGGGAAGGTGAGGAAACTCAAATGAAGCAGGTTTGGGGTGCCCTGGAATATCTCCTGCTGCTTGCACCAGCTCTGCATGATGGAACCCCTTAGCCTGAGCAGAGGGGTGGCTCAGGCATCAACCAGGCCACTGGTCACCTGTCCCATGGCACTGCCCTTGTACCTACGGCCAGGCACTGCTCTTTCTCAGTAAACCTCACCCCAGCTCATAGCTCAGCTTTGTATTGGGTTTGCATGGCCAGGTTTTGGTAGTGGGTTGGGACTACAGGGGTGGCTTCTATTCAGGGGAACAGAATTCAGCTTCTCTTCAGGGGAAGCTTCTGGAAGCTTTCTCCATGCCTGACAGAGCCGATGCCAGCCAACTCCAGCTGCTGACCAAGGCTGAGCCCATCAGCAATACTGGTAGTGCCTTGGGGATAACATTTGTTAGAACTGGAAAAAACTGTGTAAGAGCAACAGCAGCCAGAGAAAGAAGTGAGAACATGTGTGAAAAACATCTCTGCCAACACCCAAATCAGTAAAGAATGAAAGGCAGGAGGTGCTTCAGGCACCAGAACAGAGATTCCCATGCTTCCCATGGTGCAGACCATGGAGAGGCAGCTGTGCCCCTGCAGCCCATGGAAATCCACTGTGGAGCAGAGATCCGTGTGCAGCCTTTGGAGGTTCTCATGCCAAAACAGGCGGATGCCTGAAGGAGGCTGTGACCCCATGGGAAGCCCATGCTGGAGCAGGTTTGCTGGCAGGACGTGTGACCCCCTGGGGGTCCCAGGTGAGGGCAGACTTGCTTTGTTATTATCAAGTAATTCAGAATATGCCTGATCATAAGCAGGCTGAAAACTAATTTTCACTTTTTTATCCCTCCTGGCAGTTTCAGAAATGAGCAGCAGAATTTGGGCCACCTGGGAAGGCAGGGAATGCAGGGTGGGGGATGGAAACGCAGACCTGAGAACATACCAGGAACTCCTGGGATGACTAGGAGACAAAGAAAGATAAAAAACCAAAAAGATATTTCATAACTCTCATAGAAGTCAAGGGAAAAAAAAAAAACAATAAAAAATTCAAGCCCTGACTTCACAACATTTTGGGTCAATGGGCTCCCACAGACCTATAATTTATACATTTCCATTCCAGGAGAGCAAAGCCAATGAAACATGTATTACCCTTGCATACAGCTACTGAGAACACTGCATATGGAACTATAATTTATACATTTCCATTCCAGGAGAGCAAAGCCAATGAAACATGTGTTCCCTTGCATACAGCTACTGGGAACACTGCATATGGAATCTGTCTCCTCAGTCTTAATTTCCCCCAGTGAGTAGCACTGGTAATGGTGAATGTGTTTCTGTCAGAGCCCTGTATCACGCTCCTTTGGCCATCCTTGGGGAGAATAAGTTGTCCCCAAGCAGGGAAGGAGAGCTGCAGGCACACAGCTGGTCCCACTGTGTGCCTGCAGCGGCTCTGCCCCGTGGCTCTCCTCTGGCTCCCAGGAGCTGCTCTGTCCTGAGGAAGGACTCATAGCACCATCCTGGAAATCCAGCCCTTTCCTGTTTAAGTTAACAGCAGCCAGTCTGGGTGTCTGAGGTGTGGTCTGAAACAGGACAAACCTATGGTGATCCATGTCCCTTCAGCTACCAAGGATCTGCAGCCACCATCAGAAGCAGAGTGGTGTCCTGTTAAAGGCAGAGCCAATGGGAGAATTCTGCTCCCTGCACACTGTCAACCAAGAGAACGAGCTGATGAGCAAGAGACAAAAAATGTACCATATGATCCATATCTGCAAAGTGGTTCTGAGGTATTTGGGGTGGATGAGGTCCTTGAATCTTCCCCTTCTTTCCTGAAATCATACAATAGAAATAGAAGTTTCTATAAAGGCATCTTATATACAGGAGCAAGTAAGAGCAGTTGGCACGCCAGGTCCTCCTGTGCTCCCCGTGTCCCCAGGCTGCTTTGGCACAGGCAGAGTCACAGATGGTGCAACAGAGCACCCATCAAACCCCCAGAGAGCAAAGTCCTGCTTCCCAAAACATACCCATGGGAACCTGCACTACAAAGGATGGAGGAGGGGAGAAGAGAACATCCTGAGCTCTCTTGACCCCAAAGGACTCCAGATCTGAGTGGTCCCATTGTGACTGTGATGGTGCCTGAGGGGGCCCTGGCTGCTGTTGGGGGGTCAGCATTCTGGGCTTCTGCCAGCTCCCACTGCCCTGCATGCTGCTCTGCCTGTGAAGCAAGATTTTGGACACATATATCTTTCTGGGGGGCCTGAAGTGCCAGTGAGCAGAGACTGGCAGGCACTGGGGGCCCTGCCTGGCCTGCTGCCCTCCAGGGTCCCACCACCGAGGGGAGACAAGTTCACAGGGATGGTGTGGGTTGACTTTATTTTTATTTTCCTCATCATTGGTTAAGCCTGAGAGAGGGCAAAACTAACAAAAGCTCTTCCCATCTCCAATGTGGGTCCATTACATAAATTCAATTAAATTACAGGGAAGCTTTAATCCTAAATAATTCCAATACAATAGCACCATCTTGCATGAATGCTAAGGACAATACTTGGTGCCTGTGGGATTGAATATGCAGGGAAAAGATCCAGGAAAGGGATTTAAAAGAGTTGAATAATTTTGAGGCCCTGAACAATGGATTTGTCTTATTTCCCTGTCTTGGGGGTCAAAGGAGCCAACTAAGTCCTCCCACCCACCAATCAGCAGGGCCCAGACTGGATAATGGAGGGGAGAAGTCTGGGGGAGACTGACCCTCCCTGCAGCACCCACACATGTTTTTTTGGGCATTTCAGTCCAGCAGTGATTCACTCCTGAGCTGCTCAGCTGCTTATAGGTACAGGTGATGGTATTGGTGAAATGTTCTCTCCTCCTTTGACTCTCTTCTGCTGATTTGGTGGCTCCACATTCAGGATCTGGGGTCCTGGGACACAGTGGACAAGCCAGGCCAGGGGCTTGGAGAAGCCTCTGGGAGGGCTGGGCTGACCTCAGCAGGGATCCTTGCAGCCTGCCCAGTCACAGCTCTGAGAGAGACCCCAAGGGACAGTTCCCAGATCTTATGGCAAAGGGAACACCCCTGCAGATGGGAGGGCAATAAGGAACGGCATGCTTTGCCAGTAGCCCTTTTTGTAGGAAAGGAAGCAAATATTTTCTTAGCTTGAAGTTTTTCTGAGCAAACACAAACTGAGAAAGAAAAAAAGAGCAGAAAATTCCGTTTCCTTTGAAGGCCAAGGTTACTGTTCCTCCAAAAGAAAACTGACATCTTCATCATCACTTTCAGCAGTCGTTTGGAAAAGAATCAGGCAAGGAGGACGAGGGAGGCAGAGCAAGATGTGGTTGGCATCCTATTCCCTTCCTGAAGCCCAGATGCCAGCGGCCTGGGATGAATGGGCTGGACAGCCTGGCCTTACCTTGGCAGGCTCCCTCAGCTGCCCCTCTGGCACGGCCGCTCTGTTCATCCTGGCAATCCTCTGCAGCGTGGCCAGCGCAGCCCCCGTGTTTCCCGTGGAGACGTTGAACCGTGCCGACTCTGGGATGAATTGCAAGCAGAGCAGGAAGCCTTTCTGCACCTCTCCTGTCCTACTCACAGCTTCACATCATGCCCAGAAACCTCAGGTTGGCACAGGGCACTCCATGAGCTGGAGCAGCCTCTGTCTGTCCTTTCCAGCCATGCCCTGGGGAACTGTGTGCCCCAGCCCCCCATTCCCCATGCTGGGGGCGTCTCACCCTGCCCCACAAACCCATTTGGTGGTCTAGCTCCCAGAGCTCTGCCACTTGATCTGGGTCAAGCACTTATGAAAGGTGAAAGCCAAAGACACAAGTTTAACAAAAACAATCCTGAATGAATTGACATTCTAAAATGAGACAAGGCACATATTACTTGCTGAAGCAAAAGTCTTGGAAGGCACAACAAGGCCATTTTGATAAAAAGGAAGAAGTGGTTGAAATGTAACTCATCACTAGCGTTTGGTGCTCTTTCCAAAATAAAATACTTTTTAAATTAAATGGCTCTATTAAATTATAAACAATTACATCTATTTCATTCAAATATGAATTAAAGGCCCCCTTTTCAAAGGTATATATACTAACTCTCTCTTTTATTTTCTCCTGGATGACAAACTTCAGCTATCCAAATTTTCTGGCAAAAATAATCAGGGAAAATAAACATCTGGGTTATACAAGTGCACACTCACAGCAGCCTTACATGTGTGTGCCCAGGTAGCACCCCAGATGGACTTGTGCATTCACCCAACTGCAGGAAGAGCTTTTACATCTGTATAGCTCCAGCAGCCACAGCTCAGCACTGCAGTGCCCACGAGCACTGTGAGCAGGGATTTTCCACGCCCTCCTCAACAAAAGATGGTTCTCATGCCCAAGGCTGGTTTTTCTGAAGCAGAAGGAAACCTGGGGAAACTGTGGTTTACCCTGGCACTCTGGCCCACGAGCACTGTGAGCAGGGATTTTCCACGCCCTCCTCAAAAAAAGATGGTTCTCATGTCCAAGGCTGGCTTTCTGAAGCAGAAGGAAACCTGAGGAAACTGTGGTTTACCCTGGCACTCTCTGAACACTTCACTGAGGCTACTTTCCTCAGCCATAGAAAATGTTAAGACTGAAGAGAGTGTGCTGTGCCCAGCATTAAACTGAAGGTATTATTTGTCATTTTTTTCATACACTATCTAGCCTGTCTTCTTCTTGGTGCCTGGCCCATCACCACAATCCCTGGGTACTGGGACAGCCTGGACGCTGGAACCTGGGCTGCTGGAGGGCTACAGCAGACCAGTAAAGCCAGGCCATCACCAGCAAGGTAGCATCTCCCAGAAGCTGGCCTACAGCCCTGCTAGCACTTCAGGACCTTACCAAGCCACTGTGTGAGAGGACTGAAGAGGAGAAAGGAGGACACAACAAGACCCCTAGGATGAAGGGGGTGGAGGGCAATGGTGCCTGAGGAGACATCAGGGCAGTGGCAGTGCAGCAGGGAGTGGAGATCTTCCTACCTTGAACACCAGGATGAGAAGGATGCCAGGGATGGAGGCAATTCTGATCAACCACCGCCAGCCGATGGTTGGGTTCATCACTGATGCCAGGCCAATGATCAGCAAGGATCCTGCCAACCAAAACACCTTTCCAAGGGAAAGAAAGGGGTTAGAACATGAACACATGGCAATGATTTATTTTCTTCTCTTTCTTCTGTGGATATATGGGGAACTGTGCTAAGGAATGATGAGGTTCAATTGAGCCATCCCATGGCTGTCTGAGAAGCTGGGCTTGGGTGGGAGGAAAAAGGGAAACACAGAAGTTTGGGGAAGGACAGTGAAGGTAGTCTTAATTAGTTTCAGGTAAAAACCAATAATTTGCTGTGGATATAATTGTACTTAAAGCCCCTGCTTTTGTTCTTTCATTCACTTCTCTGCTATTGCTCATGAATTTTCCTGTTGTCTAGGTCTCCTCAGGGAAGAGAGATTTGCAAGCTCAGGATTCAGGATATTTACAAGCTCAGACGGCAAAACCAGGCCAGATTTCTGCTGCTGAAAGTTGGTGACCCTCCAGTAGACTCAATGCCCAGCTATACCAACAGCCAATCTGGCCTCTGATCTGCAAGTACATTCCTTTCTGAAGTTCACTTGTTGCCATTAGGAGACACATCCCTTTCCAGAGGACCACCTAAGGGAGCTCAGCCATAAATCACAAAAGCTGCAGCAAGTTCATGAATATTCTGTGGACAGAAATAACACATTTCTGGGGAGAAATACAAGATTGTTCTTCCATAAATCTTTGTGTTTCTGATGCCACTTTGGTAATGATGCCCTGGGATCAAGGAGGCTGCAGTGAAAAGTAGATTATCCCTGACACAAAGAGTTTGGTTCCACAGTGGGATGAATTCGTGCACTCAGAGGTGTCACCACTGATCATCTGCACATGCAGCAACTGCCCACTGCAAAAGTCTGCAGTAAGCAATGACCCAGCAAGTGGGCACAACCTTCCCAGCATGTGTCGGGCCAAATTTGGGACTATCTGTGCTAACCCTCCTGTGCAAAGTCCCTGGCAGAACCTGAGCAGGGAGAGGAGCAGGGAGTGACTCCAGACTCACCTGGGAGTCACTACATAAACCACTTGTTATCTCTGGGGGTCTCAAGAGGAGGGAGGGGGGATACACCTCAGCTTGGAGTGGGCTGGGAATGCTACCAGCTCCAGTGCCTGCCAGTCCATCAGTGCTGGCCCCCGCTAGATCAGCCCATTGTCAATAGGACAACCAAGAGGCTAGGTGTCAGCCATCACTCAAAGTCCCTATAAGATGTTTGGAGCATCAAATTATTTGAGAAGGTGTGGCCTCTCTCCTGTGTATGTCTTTAATAACACAGATGCCACACTCTGAGGCGCAGGAGGCAGTGGACACTCACTCAGACCCAGACAAGTGGGATTAGTCTGGGAGAAGTGCTGACGTGCTGGAGACGTGGCTTCCAAACTGTGGTGGGACAAATCTCCTGGGACTCGGATATAGAATAAACAGCAATGTGCTCACTTTTACCTGAGATAAGGGCAACAAGTATCCCCGATATTTGGTGGGCAAAAATTCCGTTTTTATGATAAGTCTAGCAAAAGAGGAAAATAAAAAAAGCTGAAATACAGTTGCAATGAGAATTTCCATACAAATCAAGTAACAGTTCACCTCGACTCATGGAATCAATATCATCCCTCTAACCATCCCTCTTCCACCTTGAGCACTCAGAGACAAGGAATCCCTGTCCAATATGCTTCCCACTCCAGCACCAAATTACATGCAAGGGAAACACAAGGCATGAATCCTTTCCATCCCATGGCTGTGGGATACAAGCAGGTAAACACTGCAGTCTATACATCAGGAAACCTATGGGAAGATCCTGTGGGGTGACTGAGGTGTCAGCACAGGCATAGATATGTTCATAGAAATGAACATTTTAGTAAAGGGTTTTTTTCCATGAAATAAGGAAAACTGTTCCACTTTTTAAAGGGTTGGCATGCCCTTGGGGCAGGAGCCTCGTGGGACAAGCATCTCTCAAGATCCCCCGTGTGAATTGTGTTTCCTTAGCTGGACAAGGAGAAAGAGGTGGGAAGAGACCCTCAGTGGGTCCTTCTGTCTCAGCCAGTGAAATGTTTTATAAAATGTTCAGTTTCCTTCCTCCCTCATGAGGCTCATGAGCAGCCTCCATGGCAAGGGAATGGGGGCCCTCCTGTGAGGGAAGCTGTGCCAGGAGCTCAGCAGATGCATGACTCAGGTTCAGGTGCTTTCTCCCAACAGCACCCCTCTCCACTATGTCCTTTCCTTCAGCAAAGGGCTTTTGGGCCAATGTGACCAGTTTGGGGTTTTCCTTTGTGGGCAGCAACCAGGCTTTGAAGAACCATGGATAGTGCTGCAATGTTTCCATAAGAGAGTCAACAATTTGTTTCCATAAGAGAGTCAACAAAAACCCCCTATTTTTCCAGGCTCCTAGTGAAGTGGTTTTTAATATTGTGAATTTTTTTCCCCCACATCCTCCTTTCTGCCCTAACAAGATAAAAATTAATTTCAGTGGGAAAGTTTCATATAATTAAAAAATAATTTTCTACTTAAGCAGAATTGTTGTGACTATTGTTTTTTTCAAGGAGGAAGCAGCCTTTACTCATCTGTTACCTGTCTAATTGTTTTATATGTTCTTAATAATCCCTCTGTCACCAATTTAATGTAAAGCAGCTGCCCCCTCTATTCCAGGCCTCAGGAGTCCTTGGGAACTGCAAATTAGGTCAGTTGACTGGGATTTAGTGAAATTACAGAATGGCTTTTTGTTCCAAGGCGATGTGGGAATTTGGTGCCCTTTCCCCTTCCAGCCCCTCCATTACCTTCTCTGGGAAGGCGCCTTGCACAGCCTTACCCTTGCGCGTGGCCCGACACACCACCTCCTACCATGGCCCGCAGGAACACAAACCAGATGTACGATGGGGCAAACGAGGTCAGCAGGGAGAAATAGGCTGCCCAGAGGAAGGAGAGCAGCAGGATCTGCAAAAGGGCAGGATTAGGGTCACTAAAGCACAGGCTCAGCCAGGTGCATGGCTCCTGTGGAGCACAGGAAAAGGATGTGCAGCCCCCAGCAGTCACTCACCTTCCAGCGGCCGTATCGGTCAGCCAGGAGCCCGAGCACTATGCTGAACACCATGTAGCCAAAAAACACCATCTGAGGGGAATGGAAACACAGTTGTTGAGGGTCCATTCTCAGCTACATGGGGCAGTTCTGCTCTCTGACCTGCGGGTGTGTGTTCTCAGGGCAGCAGGATGAACTGTGGTACCCAGAACCACAAGGGAGAGGCTTTGGGGATGGTTCTGCTCTCTGACCTGCGGGTGTGTTCTCAGGGCAGCAGGATGAACTGTGATGCCCAGAACCACAAGGGAGAGGCTTTCAGGGGATAGCTTCCTTTGTGTAGGCACTCACTGCTGCAACCCTCAAAGCTGGGAGTTGGTTGCAGGGTTTTCAAAGTAAGAATGTGGAAGTGGGGATTGGCTTTGGAATTACTTGCTCTGAGCATCTGCTCTCATTGGCTTAATTTCTGATGTCTACAGTTGTGGCACTGTTCCTGTCCCTGTAAAGAGGCGCTGGGAATTTGTTTGGTTTTCTGGGAAATGTGCTTTCCAAAACCCGCGGTGGTACCCATGACTATGACCACATGGTAGATGACCTGTCTGGGGGGAACAAGAGTCACTCACTGTTGTCACTAAAGCCACCTGCCAGTCTTGGAGCTGCCACTCGCATCGGATGAGAGGGGACACAACAGCTATCAGCATGATCTCCATGGCTTCAGCCACCTTTGGGAACAAGTGTGCATTAGCAAGAGAGGGAAACCACAAGAAGCCCACAGGGAAAAGTCTCTCAGTCCCACAAGGCCTGCAGCCATGGCAGTTCCACCATGTCAGAACAGTCCTGTGAAGCCATGGTACCTCCACAGTGGTCTGAGCCCCGTGCCGGACCTGGGAGATCTTGGCAACAGGGAGGAGAGAAAGTTACACCTAGAAAGCAGGTACAGGTACACTGTATATCTGAGAAGTTTGGAAAGAGTCATCCTTGGCAGAGAAGACTCTTACCCTGCTGGGTTATTAGAAGATCTTCAACTATCTCTGGAAACCAAGGTGCCTTGGTTGGGTACCTAGCTGCGGATTCAGGCATCCAGTATGAACTCTTAAAACTGTTTTTGGTTAAAAACATCATTGCTCCATTGCCTGTGTGCCCCAGAGCTGGCTTCAGTTAGGAATGAGCTATTTGCACACAGCTTCAGACTTTTTCACCTCAGCTGCAGCAATCTTCATGGTTAGACCCTCATTACATCCTTAGCTCAGCCTGGCCTCCAGCGTTTGCCCAAGTTCTCAAAACAGATACACAATTAACCCAAGACCCTTGTTATGGAAAGTTATGAAGTTTTTCATGTAGCCAGGGGTGAGAAGATGCCAGGCCTTCTGAGCCAGATTGCACAGGATTTGGGTGCCATGGGGATGACACAAAAAATGCAACTGTGAAGCTAAACCTAATCTTCAGGCGCTAACTGAAGACGTGTCCTGACAGTGCTCCAGAACGGGGCCAAACCATGATGCTTTGGGCCAACCCACTCAGCTTTGCCCTGAAATGGGTCTGATATCAATGGGACCAAAATCTACTTTCACCAAGGATGAAAATAGGAAAAATCCTGCTTGAGAAGGTATGTATGGGAAAAATGGGCTGGCAGCAGTATGTGCTTATGGTTGTTATTGCACAGCAATGAGAAAAATGAGAAGAAAGCTTTTTTCAGGCCAGCACAGATGGCTGCAGATACCTACCCCAGTGCTGCCCATGATGAGGAAAAGCATGATATGAAACCTCCCAAACCCAATGGTTTCCACAGCTTCTTCCACTGTAAATGTCTTTTGTCCTAAACATGAAAAGAAAATTAAGACACAAACTGTATCAGCAGTGAAACTGTACCTCCTGTTCATAAAAAATTTCTCCTGCTCCTGTGGGACTGCACCAGGAAAAAGCCTGCAAATATCTACCAGCTTTATGTCCTGGTGGCAGGGCTCAACAGGGGGTTGCTGGAACAGCAGCCAGTGCAAACGGAGGAAGGACAGCCTTGTACTATTTAAAATGCTTTTGAAACAGAGTAACATTTCAAAAATTATTTCAAGTAAATGAATCCTCAAATTACCAATATAATGAAATGTTTACACAAAGCAGAGGCCTGAGAAAAGCCAAGCCACCCAGTTCTTCCCACTGCCATAGGCAGCAGCTACCAGCCTGGTAGGTGTGGTGGGAGGGGAATGCAGGATGCTGATGTTGTGGTTCCATGTACAGAGGTTTTAAGTGGCTGGAGTGGCACAACTGAGGACCCTCTCTCTACCCCAGCTAAACAAGGACCCAAATTTCTAGTCCTGTCAATAGAAACCCACCTTTTGGTGGTTCTTTTCTCTCTGTGTGGATTTCTTCCAAGCCAATAGCATTTTCTGCCTCTTTTGGTGCAGTGGCCATCTCAGCTCCTGCTGGGATCTGCTGTCACTGCAGGCAAGGCTAGGATTTACCTGTGAAATCTCAGAAGAATCACCTGAGCAAGAAAACAGTGAGGCAGTTTCTCACACTGGAGTGGAAACTTTCAGATACAGTCAAATATTAATTTCATGGAGCTACTGGAAGATGTCCCTCCCCATCAGGGTTTTGGTGAAAAATGCATAGAAACATCACAGAGTAAGTTAGTTGAACTGAGAGACATCAGTTATCACATCACACTGGCTGTTTTTATGGAAAGTCCAGGGATTGTCTTAGGGAAGACTGGAAATCTGTTAAGGCAAGAGAGCATGTGACAGCTTCCCCAGCCCAGAGGTCAGTAAAATGCAGTGCCAGTCTAAAAGATGCTGCATCTCCAGGAGCCAAGACGGGATACAACCAATAGTTGTTGCCCCTGCTGGAGGCTCCCCAGTGGAGCTGGGTTTGAGGGAGCAGGAGAGGTGCTGCACTCTTGCTCAGCATGACACTCTGACCACTGAGGCAGAGGCAGGTCACCCAGCCAGCTCTGTAACCCCAGGACCCTGAGGGTGGCAGGGGTAGCACTTAGCTCCTCACCCAAGCAGAACACAGCTTGCTGCTGCAAATCAACCCCTCATCCCTTGGCACACTAATCCCCATCCTCTCAGGGCATCCATAAACACAGCCATGTGTTCTGAATTGCAACTGGAAGCTGGATTCCTCTGCCAGTGTTCCTGGCTTTCAGCACTAGATCTGTTGGCCTCACCACTGTTGCTTTTCCTCATCAGAAAAACTCATTTTGATCCCACGGCAGGGATTAAGCACACTGATTGCTTAAACCCACAACCTTTCCTGCTGAGTGCTTGCTCAGGCACTGCAGAGGGGAGCTCAATACCTCTGCACTTTGCTGACTCCCTCTCCTTTGATTACCTCCCTTCAGGTGTGCTGGGCTTGGCCCAGGCTGTGTTCACAGCCAACCAGCAGAGACCAGGGAGGCTGCAGAGGGTGAGAGCTGGAGGGAATTAATGGCTGAGAGCATCTAATGAAAGACACAAAACTCCATTTGAGATAGAAGGCAGGTGAACACAGAAAGTATGGAATTACAGTACTCCAGGATGGACACTTTGATCCTAGGTACAGTTAGAAGGAGGTCATTAAGGACTAATGGCAGATTAATCAGCTGGGTCACATACACTGACTTTGCTGTCACAGATCATCACAGTCCAGCACCCAAGAATATGCAAAGGATATTGGTTACATCTGTCTCTCAGCAGTGCCCTCGGAGGCAGCAATAGCTGCCAGCAGCTCACAGAGCCACCAGCTGATTATGATGGCCAACAGCTAGGGACTATTTCCAAGTGGAACCAGCTCAACAGAAACAAAACAAGGTGCTTGGAAGAGCCCACAGGGAAGAGGCAAAGATTTATTGCATGTCTGAATAGCCAAAGGCTCTGCAATCACAAAATCTGGGCTCCTGTTCTTCTCCTTTTCTGTTCCTTTGTGACTAGGGACCTGCAAACACATTCTACCCTAAGCTGCCACATCACACCTCTGTCAGGTTAAACAGACACTCTCCTCCAAAATGTCTGTGGCAGGCACAGCCCACAGTGGTGGCAGGACAAGCATCACAGCCTGGGCCTTTGCCCACCCATCCTGATGTTGGGATGCCCTTCTACTGTTTGCTGAGGGGTCTTGGAGCATTTCACTGGTACCCGCCCTGGGCTATGGGGATTCCTTCTGGGAAGTGCCACAACTCTTCCACAAAAGGGGAGGGAACCCCAGCCCCTGGTGCTGCTGTGCAGAACTTGCAGTGAGGGTCAGATGCTCAAGCACAAGGCTGCAGTGCCACCTCCAGCACCCCACAGTATCCAGACACCCTCAGAGGCAGCAGGATGGTGGAGAGTACCTAATGTGATAACCACACTGGTCTCTACCACAAATAAAACCACAAACTGCAGCTGGTAAGCAGGTGGGATATACTCTCCAGCACCTCAAATAACACCAGAAATCTGTGCAGGCACATTAAACCTCCTAACAATTCCTACCAAACCTGAGTTTTGTTCATCCCAAACCTTTGCAGCCCTGTTTGCCTTGATGGAGCAGCTATCTTCAGGGAGTCACAAATTTCCCTCTATTTGTAAATCCAACTAAACACCAATTACATGAGCCAAAAGAACAGCAGTGACAAAGCTGTTGCTGGCAGGGAAAATAAAAATCCTCCAGCTGAAGGGAACACCCAAGAGTACAGTGAAACTGCTGCTGGGACCCATCAGAATGATGCTGTGGCCCCCACCCTACGCCGCTGGGCTATGAGACACAAAGGCCATACAATGTGCAGTGCTGTCTGTGACACCACCTGGGAACTCTGTCAGTAAGGTCAGAGACCTTCTCTGGCTGAGAATTTTCCCTGCAGGTGAGAGTGGGGCTATCTGATCATACAAATTATCAGATGCCCCAATATTAAGCAAGATTTTACTAAATTTTTTTTATTTAATGAAGCTTTCTTACCTCTGTGGTGTCTCAGGCTCGGAGGAGAAGACCTTTTCTCTTTTCTGACTGTTTCCCCTCAGCTATTTACTTTTTACAGTGCTGGCAGTGAGGTTTCTTCGGGATCCAGCTCCCAGGAGTCAGGTTTCCTCCTTGCTGGGCACGGGCAGGTCCCTCTCCACCCACCTCCACCACCCAGGGGTAGGTGC